AGACAATTATATGCTTTCCAGCAGTCTCAGATAATTGTTGTTCCTCCATCTACGCGGTCTTTGATAATTTTGTAAGAGGGTGTCTTTATTCCTTGAGGGCACTGGAATAAGAAGAGAGAGAGAGAGAGAGAGAGAGAGAGAGAGAGAGAGAGAGAGAGAGAGAGAGAGAGAGAGAGAGAGAGAGAGAGAGAGAGAGAGAGAGAGACAGTGAGACAGTGAGACAGTGAGACAGTGAGTGTGAGTTTCCCAGCACACCCCACCAAAAACCCACTGGCCCTCAATCACTCAGCCGACTCTGTACTTTCTTTTGCTGAATTTGGATTTGTCAATTTCGACAATCATGTCAGGGCCACCAATCTTTTCTGCACTATTCGCCAAACACCCAAGAAATTAGCACTTCTCTACAAAAACTTCCCAGTCACATATAGATTTGTCTGATAATTTTAGTTCACCTCTTACCAGAGAATAAGAAAAATAGTCTTTTAAATGATAATTAACATATAATAAATTCGTTTCAATGTCTAAATTATATTTGGCAAACCAAGTATTGTGAAAAATAGTTTTCCTATAATTTCACCTCAGTTTTCTATTATTGATCTTTATAGATTTAACAGGGCTAAAAATTTTATTGTTCAAATCAAGCCCACAAATTGTATTGCACTTTATATTTTATTATTATTATTTTTTTTTTTTTTTAGTTTCCATGAATCTGGTAAAACTTCTCTTCAGTTTTTCCCTTAAATATCGAAAAAAAAAAAAAAAGGTCAAGTACACCACCGTAACACAACTGACACACATCAGTCATTGTCACTGAGGAGGAGGCAGGTCATCAGTGTAGTCGAGAAATGTGCGTGTTATTTCAATACTCGAAATGTGTTAAGTATCGACTGTATTGTTTGAGTAGTTTGGCAATTAAGAATATTAATAAGTTAGCCAAAATTGAGAATCAAAATGCACATTTTAACATAAAAACGGCTGAGACATTAATACTTTTGAAAAGTTAGTCAATAGTCGTGTACTTTTTTATGATATATTTATGGGATTTTATACTTGAACTTTAATGAGCAATTACAAATCTGCTAGACTGCCGCCTCCTGATTGGTCATGAGGTAGTGGTGACGTAGGTGTACAGTAGGACAGAAGACAGTGTGCGAGCTGCGCGGCAACGTAATCTTTCGCGCAGAGCAAATGGACTTCGGCTGTGAGCAACACTTTTCCTTTATTTGTGACATTAATATTCATGTCTGCAGATTATTTCTTGTACTAATCACTATAACTTTTTGTTCTCTATAAGAATATCGTCTTCAATTTGCACCGACTTAGTGCGGCCATACTGTACAGATTAACCAACTACGAAAACTTTCAGCTATTTATATTGTTTATTTACTATTTCAATTGGGTAATTTTCTATATTACCTGTGCCGCTCCGATATTGACGATTTTGGTATCGTTGGATTCCTCTCACTGTCCACATTACAAATATATAATTTTTATTGCACGGAAACCCCCCGTTAGCGACACACTTGGCCCCGATAGCAGGGGAGGGCATGAAAGGTTCCAGGGAAAATGCAGGGTTAAATAACACTAATAATATAATGCACATTGAAAATAACCATGGTTATTCACATGACTTTCCATTGTGATTCCTCCTGGGGGGGCTGCCGCTCCCCAACCCCTGCAGAGGAAACAAAACCTCCACCACGTAATCCCGGCAGGCTAGAGCATTACATGATTATCGGCGATGTCAGATCGGCGGACATAATATTACAATTACCTCGTAACATTCCCACTAAATCAGCATACTAACCTTGACATAGTCAGGGGGGAATCGGAAACGCAAGTAGCACTGTAAACAACCTTCACCTTTGGAACAAACAACGAGAACTGTAACAGAACTGTCAAATTTGCCAGGAGAGGACAGCGATGCACAAGTATGGATATACCATGTATTTCTAATGAAACTTTGGTACATACATGGTAAAATTAATCACATCGTGTATTTAAGGAATGAACATTGATAAATGCGTTTTTCGTTAAAATTTCATATAAATTAGAATACAGAAATTCATTTTACTACAGTGCATTTATAAGAAATTTGTTGTGACGTCACTAACTACATGCGCCAAAACAGTTCATGTTGGATTCACACGCAGCTAAGTGGTTCGCTGCGACACGAGGGGGTTGGATTTAGTAGCTGGAGGCTCGTGCCAGAATGACCCGCGCGGCATTCTGCGCGCCAACTTTTCCTCATTTAACTCAGTTTCGCTAATGCAAATCAATTTTGATAGTAATGCATGTAGTTTTTCATCGCCTACAACGCTATGATCTTCAATTTTCTCCTAGTCGGTGCGGTCCTATTGTAAACCTTAACCGAAATAGCAACAACGCTGTCCATTTTGTGACAGATGACTGCTGAGAAATTTTGCATAGATTCTGGGTTATTTGTAAGACTTCAGTGGTAACAAAGAAGAAATAAACTTTTGTAACCATCCCAGTTTGATATCTAAGCCTATCAAGAGCCCCAAATGGCAGAAAATAGTGATTAAAAAGAAGCACTCAAGATCATAGGAAAGTGAACAAAAGTTTGACATTTCCAGATATAAAAGTATTTGGTTTATTATTTTACAGTGTGAGCGCCGGTCTGTCTTGCCATATATACCTAGGTGAAGAGATTGTTTCCAGAGGGGTGTTGGGGACAAAGCCCCCCATCAACCCTCCCCTTGGGCAGTGCTCAAAGGGCATGCCTAGTCACAGCAATTTAAATTGTTAGATTAGGTTGTTTTATTGGTCAATATGTTTTTTCTTTGGGGGGGGGGGTGGAACATGGGAATTCCAGTGGATTTTGCTGAAAGGTGGGTTGGGTTCCCGTAGTTTATTATTATTATTGGGTAACAATCGCCATTCCATTTATCATGGAAGGCTACATTTGGTTGGTAGACATCAAGGTAAAGTTTTTGTTTCATGCAGACATCCAAACTTGCAATTATTATTTCTATTTCTTGTTTCAATTATTCACAGAGTAATATACATAAATGTTTCTCTATTTTTAGGCTCAAAACTTAATTTAAAATCTTGTGAACTTGTTATAAGTTAAAGAGACTGATGCGCATAGATAGAGGGAAATGGTCACTGCCATCTTGTAGAGCGGAAGAAATAAGAGTAGGATAGTTTAAGTTTAAGCTGCAGCAGCCTCATAGTCACCGCTAAATGATGAAAATATAATGTGCAACGCCGTGCAGATTCTGTCCCGCATCTTGTTTACCTTGCAAAGAATGATACAACACTGACCTAAGTTGTTCATGTGTTACTACATGCATGTCAAAACGATATTTGGCTAATTATCAGTGTCTGCTGTAGAGGGAAGCTCCTGCTTACTGCCAGTATGTAAACAGGTGTCATCTTACATGAAGACTTGGGAATTTAGCATCCTTTTAGAAAAGGGGGAGAACTTGGGATAGCTACTAAACTGGGGCAAAAAAGAATAATGAATATTACACTTTAACATTAATGGTTGATTTACTTATAACTACAAATTGAAATTGGAGATGGTATTAACAAAATTATTCTTTACAGTGTGTGTTTGTGTGTGCTTATATGTGGGTTGATGGGAGTTTTTTTTTTTTTTTTTTTTTTTCTGATGTTTTTTCCACTTGCGCCAGGTGTCTCATATGTGTGACGCCCAGAAAAAAATCATTCCCAGGCGTCCCGCCGGTGTGTTGTTAGATCAGAGCTTGCACTCTGATTTTGTTGCCTGTGGCAGAGTGGCCCACACACCAATTTTGAAGCCGCCCAGAATCTGTTATTTTCGGCATGAAAATGTACTGGTGGTTGTAGGTTTAACATTTATATTGTGCAGTAGGTGTGTGCAACCCATATCCATATACACATTTGTACATAGGTGTCTGTTGATTACAGGGGCTGGTATAATGGCTTAAAATCATAGCCAAAGTCTTAGGCTATGAATTGTTTTAGTTGGGAAAACCATAGCCTAATTTATGAAAAATGCTGTTGCATACCAAAGAATGAGATATATTTCAATGTTTGGTATCCGAGAAATAGGTATTGGCACATAAATAAAAGAATGACTACAGTATTTTTTTGAAGTCTTAATAGAAATATTTTAAAATGTATGCAGATATGTCCTCTTCCATCACTCCTCAGGGTTCACCACTGAATAATCATGTCCTCCAGCATGAAGTGTAACAATACAGTGATATTGAAGAAAGCCCATAGAGGAGGAATCTCAACATTATTGATGAGATCCTCTCCCTGTTTTATGCAGTCATACAATCATAGTCACACATTAACTAGTTTACAAATAAAGAAACCATACAAATTGAAATAAAGTCCAAGAATCAAATCTATCTTGTATTTCTGACAGAAATATGGGTATCAGTGAAAAATATGACAAGATTAGTTATCATGTGCTGGAGATAGTTGAATGTTGGTAATGAGCTTAAGGGGACCGTCCCTGGCCATAGGGGGGTCGGGGTACTTGAATTTTGGTTTTGGTCCTAACGTATTGTTACATGTCTGAGGAAACTGCCCTTCGATTGTTAGACTCCATCTCGAACTATTTCTTGGTGTAACAAGGGCATAAGCAACATGGGGTGCAAGTGCATTTTCGCTCATTTGAGGTAACTGGCCTTTACACTCGTTCCGACTGTTCCTTCGGCTTATGATAGAGTAATTACATGTTGATATCAGTTCAAATAATGATTGTTACGCCTTATGTCAATTCATGAATGATACAATATAATTTATGATGAAATAAAGTTTTTTTTTTTTTTTTTTTTTTTTTTTTTTTTTTTTTTTTTTTTTTTTTTTTGCTTTAGTAGGCATACATGCAAAACACGTACTGCATTGAAACCTCAAGGTTGTATAGTATTGTTTAGCTATCGATTACCATGTCTTCATATCAAATCTGCAATTATGTGTATGCGCGCGAGCGTGTGTGTATGTTTGTGTGTGAGCTCGTGCAAAAGTGTTGAGAGTACACCCACGTGCACTTTTGCGTATAGGTGTGTGCCCTTATGTGTGTGCAAGCGCGTGCGCACTTGCGTACATATATGTGCGCGCCTGTTTGTTAGAGTATGAGGTGAAGCTTAGAGGACGGCTGAAGGCAGGCGATCAAGTTCAAACTTGCGCGCGTGTGATCGCAGGGCTTGCCACAGCATTTAGGAGGCTGCATGGCGGCGTCGGTTGGGGATTTTTTCGTCATACTGTTTTACATTTTTTGATGCTGTTCATTAATCACTTATCCGATCTGAATGAAATATAAAACAAAAGAAAGAACAATGTCTGGCCTTCCTTTTGGTCTATAGGCACATACTATAATAAGACGAAAAAATATAGAAAATGAACGAAAACTTTCTAAAAAGAATTCAAGGTTTTTTTTTATGCTTATTCATTTTTTAAACTTTGGTACCTACCACACTCCACAGTTTGTGTCCGATATCATGGAGCTTTTCCCCCAAGAAAGAACGTTTGAATTTGCAGAGAATAAGGAATGGGATTTGATAAAATCAAAATTTTAAATTTTTAACGAATTTTTAAAACCCTGATTTAAAAAAAAAAATGCCGATTATATTACACGCGATAATTCGGAAACTAAATGGAATTTCCAAATTCGAATTCGTTGTTCTCTTTGCATGACCTAAAGGTTTTCTCAACAGAAAGCACATAGAAAACGGATGATAATTGTGAGACTTGGTAGGTACCGAAGGGACCTATCTATCAAAAATAGATTTTTAATAGCGCTTAAATTCCCTTCGGCCAAAATTTTTAAAAATTGGTCAAAAGATGGGTAATGATGTACTCTTTCATCCTACCAAAATTCATGAAAATCTGTAAGACCATTTTCTATTTTTGAACAAAAATAAAAAATTGGTGATTTTTCAGGGATGGTCCCCTTAAGCTACTCAAGCATGCAAGATAAGTCATTTTTAGCATAATCCCTTCACATTTGTATGTATGTATTTGTTAGTGTGTATGTGCATGTATGTATACATGTAATGTGCAGTTTGCAGATTTCAGAAGATGTTATCAGTGAAATTGTGTGTATTTTCAATCCACCATTCTATTCAGTTCATTCAGGTTTGTTAGTGCTTCTGTAAATGAGAATAGTTATGAGTTAAAAACCAGGTATTGATTGTAGTAAACTTTTGAAGTGGTTACAATGATGACCCATAGAGTAAGGAAGTACTCGACTTCAAATAGCATCAGGCTTTGACAGCACAATGTATTTTCAGAATACAGTTACGGCAGTGGCGCTGGTGCTGGTAGCTATGGTAGTTATGGTGGTGCTCCTAATACCGCCTCACCTCCGGCCCCAGCATTCCCCCACAACAGCCAAACTACGGGGCATACTCTACCCCTCCTCCACAAGGCTTCTCGCAGGGACAAGCTCCTTACGCAGCACCCCCTTCATACAGTGCCCACCTCCACAAGGTGAGGAAGAAGGGTTCTAGTCTTTTTCTTCCTTCCTTCCTGTCTTCCTTTCTTCTATCGTCTTTATATTTCTTTGATTTTGTTTTGTCATTACTAGTATAATTATATAAGTTTCAGGTGGTGTCATGTCAGAGATAGCGATGAATCTCGTTGCCAAAGATCGAGTGACGACTGCTGACAGAATAGCTATTTAGTAAGCAGTTTATATGGTCAGTTTATAGATGTGTCTACATTAGTCACAAGTAGGCTCAGTAGAGAAAAGTCTGTTGCTGAAGCTGAAAATATTTCCAAGAAAATCTGTTTATAGTATAAGAAGTATTCCTGTGTGTGAGGGGGGAAAATCAGGAACTGTCTTTTAGAATTTGTATGTAATTACAAAGAGTAAATGAGATGTGCAAGAAAACAGAAATGGGTGGAATGCCTGGTGGAATGCACATGAAAAAAATTAGAATCATTTATGGATTGTAGTTTTAGGTATCAGTATTATAGTGTAATGCAGCACTAAATGTTCCATTTTGTAGTAAACAGAGTTCTGTATTTTGGTAATTGAAATGATTTATGAAAATAACTGTCCTTCATATTGGGCAGACTATTGCTAATAGACTAATGAAGTGAACTATGAAATAGGATGCTATGAAACCATATTCTTGAATTTTTCCATGTATGCATGTTTCCCCGCCCCTCTTTCCATGGGTCCTAATGATACCTCTCTGTGTTGTACCCAGTGATACTTTTGAGAAAAAATCTAACAAAAGATTTTCTGGAATTTAATAAAAGACACTGTAAATAAGTGGTAATTATTGCTACTGGGGAAAATGTACATAGCGAAAGTATAGAATTTTTTGTCGTATGCCTGTTAGGAATATTGAATAGAAAACCATTTTTAAGTTTAGTAGGCTGTTTCTCTGAAGATTTTAGTTCTTCTAAATTATTCAAAAGCTGTTGTAAAATTTCTGTACTTAACTCCCACCCCCACCCCTTCCATTTATTTTGTAAAAATGGGAATGCTGAAATATGAAGTGTCCAAATAAGAATATTTGGAGGAGGATCTAGGTAAATGTCATTATTGTTGATCTTGTTAAAGCTAGAAAATCGTTAATGGTGAGCAATATACAAAGAAATGGAAAAATTGCCGTAGTTTGATTGGTAAGTATTCATAGTGTTATTTTTTAACGTCTTCCTTTTCTCTTTGTTGATTGCAGTTGAGAAATGGGGAAGGATATAGATTGTTATAGTTAAGATACTTATTACTGGTGATTTACTGATTGAGAGGAAAATGGATATCACAAATAAAATTGATGAATGGTTATGAGTAATGAATTGGTAATGAGAAGAGTGACTGAGGTTAAGCTACTACTACCAGGTGGGTACGGACATCCGCCGCCAACTCAGGCTCCAGTTCAGTCAGCACCAGGTGGTGGAGGGTACAGCAGTTATGAACAAAACAGTACCTACGGCTCTGGAAGCTATGGACAGACACCTGCAAGCACTGCATATGGTAGTCAACCCAATGCTAACTTCTCAACTCCTCCTGCCCAAGGAAATTTTGGAGGACCGCCGCCAACACAAGGAGGCTATGGCGGAGGCCCTCCATCTGGAGGAAGTTATGGTGGTCCACCATCTTCAAATGGAAATTATGGTGGGCAAGGTGGTGGATACAACAGTAAGTCTGACCTCCATTGTTTTTGTGTGTTTATTTTCCAGGAATTTGGCACTGACAAGACTGATATGACTTGACTTACTTTTGGACCAACTGTAGTAATTGTGTTTTAGATAATAACAGTGAGTTGACAAGAATTATGATAGGTAAATGGGACACAAGAAACATATGATTGTTGTTGCGATAGAATTTGACTTGAATTTTGACAAAGCTAGAGGTAATCTTACACAGGGATATATCTATGTTTATATGAGTGAGAAGGCATCATATCATTACATATCTTGTGTTTGTATTGTTCATTACTTGAGGATGAGATTCATATTGATAACCTCAATAACTCTGTGACCTAAGTGTCCATCCATGCAGCTGTAGTCTTTTTCCTGAACCTGGGATTGGTTAGTGGTGCTGGGGGAGAGGTTGGCGTGCAGATTTCTCAGTGACCGAGATATGGTTGTGTCCCAAGGTCGTGGGCAAGTATACTGTGTGTACTAATGCAGACTGCTGAACTTTTCAAGGTGGTCTAGGCATGGCTCCTCCCCCCCTGTCAGCCCTCCAGGCTGTGGTGGCATGTACGGGTCGCCGCTGAAGCAGTCCCCGGCTCCCATTCCTAGGTAAGTTTAACCAGCGCTAGACCACTTAGAGGGTGTTGATAGTGTGATAGTCTTGCTCACAGAGTTGAGAGATCTGAGGGTTTCAACATGTTGGTTGCAATGTGAAATCTTCCAAGGAAGAAACCTGGAGTGCCAATTTTATTATACTTTGGCTTACATGGTGTGTATTTCAGCACAGAATAATTTTTATGGATTGGTCATTAAGGGAAATTTCGAAAGTTACTACTTTTAGTGTGGTATACAGGTTTCATTTTTTCATATTCCTAGAATTTTATTTTTTGTTTGTTTATTTTTTTCAAGAGTATTATAATCAAATACTTACTTGTATTCTTAGTTTTTCTGACAGGTTAATCGTATCCCTATGTAAGACATGGATCAGACGGGGAAATCAAGAGTTGGTATCTGTTTATTGTGTTGTTTACATACATCATTGGTGCAAATGATATGAATGAAATGAATGTGTTGAAAAACCTTCTCAATCTACAAAATCCGCCAGAAATTGTGTGAATGACATTGTAATGTAGGACACAGTGCTATTCATACTTGTTTACATTGATGATAACTGATATTAGATTATTTTTGTGTAATTTACAAAGATTAGTTTCTGAATATTTTAACATAAAGGGGATTTTTATATAACAGTCAGGCAAATAAATATTGATTAGAATTTTTGCTCATTATATTATATGAAATATATGTAAGTTCTGGAGTTTTAGTGTGACATATGCTAAATAATAACCTGTGTGGTGGTGGTGGTGGTGATGGTGAGAGTAAGAATGAGGCAGCTGATTGGCCAGAGGCAGAGTTTGCAGGAAGAAACCCAAGTAATCCTGTTGAGGACATCACCAACCTTCCCTTGATGTCTGTTCGCCTGTAAATCCAGCAGACTTATACCCGACTTTCAGCTCAAGAGTTTACTCTGCCAGGTGACAAGCAGGTCTTGATGCCATGTGGTTATCACACATGTGTGTCTATGCCTTCTATTATGCCTTACAGTTAACGTGACTCAAAAGTTGAATGAATGTATTAACCATGTATGCACTGGAATGCTTGTTACTCTGGAATCTATGCTACTTTTATTGACCGGACATTGACTGCCTGACTGCCTGACTGCCCTACTACAATTCAGCTGCATCGTGCCAACAGAGCTGCTGATGTCAAAAGTTCTCCTTACAGGCGAGATCAAGGGAGAGGTTATTACAAAGGTAACAGCACCATCAGGTGCTTGTGGTTTTTCTTCGGTTTTGCAAATGTAGACCACCATCTTTTGAAAGACCTCACGGAAGGTGTTAAATATCCCCTCCCTCTATTTTTTTTCTTTTTTTCGTCTTTCTTTTCTTTCCTTTTTTTTTTATTATTATTTATTTTATTATTTTTTTTTTTTTACTTTTACTTGTACTTTTGCTTGTACTTTTATTTTTTTCTGCCCCTCCTCCCCAAAGTATTTCCTAAAGTGAGAGCTTTACAAGAAGGATATACTCTTGTCTCATTCTGGACCCTTGCTTTAAGCTGAGTTGCATGACATTTCTTTCTCATTAATAATGGGTTCAGCCGAGACTTGTGTATGGTCTGTGCATAACTGTTTAGCCTCAACTGTAAGGTGATGATGACTTTCTAGAAATTATCTGGTATGAATATAAATGGAGTTGGATATCTTGCTATCCCTTACCAGTTGAGGACAAACATTTATAAACATATATTTAGGCTATTAAAAGTGTATGATTAGATTATCATAAGATGTGAAATTCCTTTGTCTAGAAAATAAATGTATGGAATGAATTAGTGATATTGAGTAATTGAGGTATAGAGGAATAAAGGGAAAAATTCATTGTGTGTAGTAATGAAAACTATCTTGGAACATCTTGTATGTGAGATGAATGTTATCAGTCTAATCTTGTTTCTGAAAATTGCGTGTTTGGGGATGTATACAATTAACATATGAGAAGTACATCAGTTGAATGATACCAGAATAACAAAAATGATGAGGCACTTGTATTATCATACAAGCAAGATGTGTAAAATTAGACATGAATTTTATGGATAAAACTTCTTTATTTTAGTGTAATAGTGTGAGAAATCCAGTGATGGTTTTAGTGTTTTTGTTTTGAAGTCTTGATATCAATGTTTTAGGAGTGTTGCTAGCAAGCAAATTAAGCGCTGTGTGTTGCTGATATTCGGAAAGTGTGGGCAGTCAATGCATCAAAAAAATATTTGACATGAAATTTCTATCCCAAGTTTGGCCAAGATGCAAACTTGACACACTTGGTATCCAGAGAGCCAGCAGCTGACAACTGTTAGGCTGCTGGCCAGTTGAAGTGGATGTCACTTACGTACATGTATCATCTCCATGAATTTGAATGTGTCCAAGCCTTACTACTTGTGGTTGATATTGAATTTTTAAAGGAAAACTGAAAGTAACATTGGCACTAACTCCTCTTGAGAAGTGAGGTATGAAGTCATATCTGCTGTGTCGAGAAATTAACTGGGCAGATTACCAGATGCAAATATTACCTAATGATTCTATTAATCGCATCTAGCATTTCATCAGTGTTTACACTTTAGAAGATAATAGTTGCATATACCTATTTTTAAACTATTATTAAATTGAGTGACAATAGCATTGTGGTCTGTAGAGTTGACTGACTACTATTGCAAATTATAAAGAGTATAGCAGATGACCATCTGATTATTACCCTACCTAAAATTTGTACTTGTGCAATTTTAATGTATGTTCTTACATTGGTGTGCAGAAAGTGGTGGTGGAAGCTACGGGAGCAGTCGATATGATGGTGGTGGCCGAGGTGACCGGTCCAGAGACTCCGAACTAGTCACACAGGAAGATACAATTTTTGTCTCTGGCATGCCAGATCATGCCACAGAAGATGACATCAAGGATCATTTTGGATCAATTGGCATTATTAAGGTGAAAAGACATTAAAACATTTTTCTGTAATTGGAGGTGCAAGCCTTTGCTGTTTTAAGAATATACAAAACCAATCATGACCATTTTTCTCTAACAAAATTTTCTCAACTCAGATGGATAGAAAGACACAGCGTCCCAAAATATGGATGTATAAAGATAAAGCAACTGGAAGAATGAAAGGAGAATGTACAGTGACCTTTGATGACCCATACACTGCCAAGTCAGCTATTCAGTGGTTTGATGGCAAAGCATTTATGGGTAGTAATATCAAGGTAAGCATTGTCCATACATCAAATGAAATATTTCCCCTATTTGAACGAAGAAATCTGTTGCATATATAATTTATATTCGATGCAGGTACAAATGGCAGAGCGTCCAAAGAGCAGTTATGAACGGGGGCGTGGTGGTGGTGGTGGTGGTGGTGGTGGTTACGGAGGTTACGGAAGCAGTGAAGATAGAGGCAGTCGTAACGATAGGGGCAGCCGTGGAGATGATAGAGGTCGTGGAGATGACAGAAGTGGTCGAGGAGATGATAGAGGTGGCCGTGGTCGAGGTGGTGACCGGGGCTACGATAGACGTGGAGGCCCTGGAGGCCGAGATGGCCCTGGTGGTGGTGGTGGTGGACGAGGTAAGTTTGATTTTAATAATTCTCTCTCTCTCTCTCTCTCTCTCTCTCTCTCTCTCTCCTCTCTCTCTCTCTCTCTCTCTCTCTCTCTCTCTCTCTCCTCTCTCTCTCTCTCTCCCTCTCTCCCTCTCTCCCTCTCTCTCCCTCTCTCTCTCTCTCTCTCTCCTCATCTCCTCTCTCTCTCTCTCTCTCTCATCTCCTCTCCCCTTCCCCTCTCTCTCTCCTCTTCCC